GAATGCATAAAGATTTCTGGGCATTAGAGAACATTTCTGTTCTCTTTTCAGGTAGCAGAAATCAACAAAGCCTCAAAACAAGGAGAGCTGTTCTCAGTCTTTGGGTCCGGAACTGGTGGCGGCAGCAGCTTAGAAACAAAATCTGGGTCTCCAGGAGAAGAGGACTTCCTCCCTGCATCCCAGGTTTACTCGGTGAGTGAGTACAGATGGGATGGGCAAGGAGGGAACGGTGTGCTTTGTCTATCTGCTTTTTTATAATTTTATTTTAGGTCCTTTGTGTGGCCATAGCTGTATATTTCTATTGGAATTGCTTTCCGTGTCTGTCTTTTGGTTTTGGAGTGAGATCAGCTAGTCATACTGGTTCCTATTAGTGAATATAATCTATGTGCAGGCCATACATCAAATAAGTTCTACTCATCTTGCTTTAACCAAGGATGCTGTTTGTTTCCTTACTGTGGGCTGGTGACTTTAACCTAATCCGTTTCCCTGATGTCTCAGTTGATGGTTATGATGATGAGTCAGTTTTAGAGCCTTCCCCAGCTTACAGCTGTACACACTGGTGTATTGTATACTGAAACTTAGCTCCTTTCAGGGTTCTGCATACAGGGCTTCCTTAATGCTCTCATATCCAAAATTTCTTCTTCTTCCTTTCTTCCTAGTTCAAACCCAAGCGTGTGGGAGCAGGATTTCCAAAGAAATCCAGCTTGTTCCAGACAGCTTCAGAACTGCTGAAGATCCAGGAGGAGAGCGATGCAAAGCCTGTCAAAAAAGAAGTAAATTGTCCAAATGGGCAAGACAACGGCAACTGCAGTCTGGAACTGGACACCAGAAACCCTGTTCTCCAGAAGAAAGAAATAGCAACCAAAGCAACATGTGAGAGTGCTGGGATAGAAGTACTCCCTCCTGAAAAGAAGGGACAGCAGCCCAGTCCAGACACAAAAACTGCCCTTTGGGATAGCCCTACTACAAAGCCCAAACCCAGCAAGAAGCAGCAAATGCTCGCAGAAGCGGCTAAGAAAGAATCACAGGATATTTCCAAATTCTTCTCCCTCTCCAAAGGTGGGTCTAAAGCCAAAAGTTGCAGCTCAGCAAAGGAAGATGGCTGTTCTGCAAGCACACTACCTCAGGTTTCTTCTCAAAGCATGCGTCAAGAGAAACCAATACCTCAGGAAAACAAAGATGTCTCTGGAGGAGATGTGACTGGGCAGTCCCAGGCAGAGAATGAAGAGCTGGGGGAGACAGAAATAACACTGACTGAGAGAGAGGAGGATTTTAAGACCCAGCAAGCAGCTGAATCTGAACTCCTTCAGGAAGAAGTTGATGTAAAATCCAGGTAAAATCTCTACCTCTCTGCTCCCTGTGTTGCCCTGTTAACAAGCTGCAGAGCCCCACCAGCCTTGTCCTGGAAACTGGGAATCTGTATTAGATCTCTAGGCTGGTGGGGGAGACTCTTGCTTTACCACGGAGAGTCTTGCGGCCACTGACAGTGAATGTAGTAATATCTTCACTGTGGAACGATTGAAATTGGCCTTCTCTCCACTCTTCCCACTAGTGTTCCTGAAAATGTCGCAGAAACTGAGCTAACCGTTGTTGGGGAAGGTGAGTGTGGGAAGCGACCAGGATCAGATGAGGTAAGACTTTAATGGATGCTAATTTCCTCTATTTCTTCTGCTCATCTTGAGCCAAGTTTCTCTCTGGGAGCGATGCTCCTGATCTGAACTTCACCTGATAGTGTTATTTATCTGGGGAGGGCCCAGCTGCAATTGCAGCAGGGAGAAGAACCATAGTTGCGTTGCACTCCCGGTGTCCCCCTGCCGCCCGCTGGGCCAGTGCCAGCAACTCAGACTGCAGTGAAAAGCTTCCCCTCTGCTCTGCCTTGTTTCCTCTTCTCTGCAACACATGTGACTGCACCCTTGCTGGTGGCTTGCCTGGAATGAGTCTCTCCACCCACTCTAGATCTGTAGCTAACTATAATTAGCAAGCTGCTTTCTCAAGTCAAGGGAACAACCACGGGCCAATGACGCACAGGACCACTCAGAAGCAAACCATGCTCACAGCCTTCCTTGCCATTCAGTCTCTGGTTCTGCATTTGGCATCTGAGACTGCCTGGTAGCTGTCTCTACTGAACAGTGTGATTTTCTCCTTGCTCTTTCAAATTGAGCCAGAGTGTGGCACTCCTGAAGTGGTTGATTCTTCCTGAGGGGTGTATTCTCAGCAGACATCCTGGGAAATCTTTTCCTGTCGGTTTTTCCTGTATAGGATGAGGTCTAGCAATTAGCTGCCCTAATAAGAGCACAGGGTAATTCTAAATGTGGTAGTTTTAAAGGGTTTTTCTTAAAGTCCCTTTGTGTGGGAAACGGTGTATTATGTCTGCACAGCAACATGGGTTACACAGATTCCTGCATGGTGTTCACTATAGGGAGAGCCTGCAGGATGCTGCAAAGATTCATGTTCTCAGAAGGTTGTGGCTGCTTGGAAGTGTAATGCTGCCACAGGAATTGGTGGGTTTGGTTTTCTTCTGTCCCATTTCCAGGATATGGAAAGTCCTGCAACAAAGCGGCTACGGACAGTGGCAAAATCTTCTATTCTGTCCCAGCCAGAAAGCAAAAGTGTTGGTCCAACAAAGAAGAAGGTGACTTTTGATCCAAACTTATCACAGTGTGATAAAGAAGGAACCAGCAAGATCGTACAGCCAGTGACCAAAGGCATGTCCCTCAAAGAAACAGCAGACGTCGTTGTCAAATATTTGACCCCATTCTACAAGGGTGGCAAATTTGCTTCCAAGGTAGGGCACAGCTCAAGACCCTCTCTAGCAGAAGGAAACTGCATCTCCCTAGTGATCTGGGGCCCTAAGAAGGGGAAGATGATCTGGATACCACATTTCATTTCCAAGTCACATCTTGGTATGTGCTGTTTTAATGACTCTAGGTGCAGCAACTCGCCTCTCCCAAGAAAGGGTTTGTGTGTGATTTAGAGTGGCATCAGGTCGGTTCCACACTTGTTTGTGATTGTTCATGTTTTCACACTAAACTCTGGCAAGTTTTTAAAACCTCCCACCTGTGGAGTGGCAACAGATCGGGGTCAATTCTGGTATAGTTTACTTGATGTGTTCTGCAAGGCAGCATGTGTGCGCGTGTGCTTCTCCAGCACTGCAGGGTCAGGTCTATTCGCAGGTTTGCAACACTCCTGTAGTCTAAATCTATGAATGGTTTGTGCTAGAGCCAGCCTGTGCTAACAGCAAGACAAATGTGGAAACAGTCTGGTGAGGTAACTGATGTCTGCTTTCTGCTCTTTATCTTCCCCAATTCTGCAGGATCTGTTTAAGGGCTTTGCTCGGCACCTGTCTCACTTACTGACGGAAGAGCAGAACCCTGCCCGCAAGACTGGTGAGTTGGCAGCTGGGGAGAGCACCAAGAATCCTGGGTTCCTTTGATGCTAAATGGGGTGATGTCTTTAGAGGGGGCAGATGTCTTAAGTATCGTCTCAAAGGTGGTGCTTCCTCTCTTGCAGTGAAGGAGGAAGCACAGAGACTCATCAAGGAGTTTTTCAAAACAAGGGTCAGGTGTGAGAGTGAGACAGACTGGCAGGAGCTGCAGAGCTCAGAGAGCTGATCCTTGCATCATGTTGGCTGTCTTCCTTCCTCCAGCAGTGGGACCAGGGGATCTTGAAGAACTCAACCGTGGAGGGTTTCATGAAACTGCAGAAATGAGCTTTCTTTTCCCACTGCATTTTTGCTCACTTCTGTCCTTAGTGACACACACTTCTAGGAAACCTGTTTCCGTGAACTTATGGAGAGTTTCTCCAATAACTAGGGCGCTGAAGCACTCTAGTACGTCTTGCCAAGAGGTGTGAAGTCTGCATCTGCTGTGTAGGTTAGGGGCTGCTGCCTCAGATGTTCTGCAGCGTCTCCAACCTCTACTCCCTGCAGCAGTCTGGGAAGGGCTCAGACTTTCCAACTGTGAGTCTGCTTTGGGATGGCATCTTGCTTCCTAAGTGGCTCCTCCCCTCGCTCCCATCTTTTAGTTCTTATTTCAGTGTTACCAAGAGGAGCCTTATGCTACAAGTTCACATGCTTTGCTCAGGGCTGCCAAGGATGAGCTTGATGTTGAGTTCCTGGATGGAATGTTTTCCCTTGAAGGGCAGGAGGGGAGCGTTTTGTTTTTACCATGCAGGCAATGCCTAGTTTCTGAAGGTGGAGAAACTCACATTCTTTTTCTTTTAATCTGAACTTTTTTTTTAACTTCGTCTAGTTCTGCCTGCCCTTTAACTTAAGTGGTGATGCTTTTTCAGTATTAACCTCTCCAATAGTGGCACCAAGGTTGCCAACACTTTTCCAGCATTTGCTTGTAACCCCTAAAGCCATATTTGCTCCCTGTGCCTCACCCACAGTCTGCAATACAGAGGGCAACGCTGCTGTTACAACTGGTTAAGGTACTGCTGTGGCCCTCAAATTGACATTGTGGTGCCTCTGCTGCTATATTTATAGAAGGACCTGAACCTTAGGGTATCAGTGGGCTTGAAATAACCTGATTCCCTGGCACAAGTCCTTTCTGTTGGGTGTTTGTTGGGTTCTGCCCTTGTTCCATGCCTATAGAGGCTGGTGGCCTCAGGCACTAGTGCTGCTAGAGGAATCTGCAGCCTGAGAGGCTATCAAACAGGTTTTGGATCACTGTACTCAACAGATGTATTTTTTTTTTAAAATGTATTGAAGGGTATGTGCAGAACTGACAATAAAACAATGTTATAGCTGCTGTGGACTCTTCCTGAAAGCTTTTTCTTACCAATTAATTATACAGACTGGTCTAAGACACATTAAGACTCCATCACTGTGAACACAGACATAAAAGCTCATTTCTTATCTGAACAGACAGCTAATAAATGCAAGCCTGGGACGGGCTGGATGGGAAGCATGTGCCAGCAGACACCTCCAACCCCTTATAGTTGCAGGACTTCTCCAGCTAGAAACAGAAGGAGAACCTGGAAATGTTGAACTCAGAAGTCACTTTCATCTTCAGCTTGCTCTGCTCACTAGAGGACAAAGGACTTTACAAGAAGCCTTTTACACAATAGAAGTATTTTTCAGTTGTTGCCTGCTGGCTTCTATTTTACCTTCCCATTAAAAATCCTGTTTCATCAGCCACTTAAGCGGGGTTACTACCTCTCCAGCATCCAGCGCTTGTAGAGTTCAGCTGCTGTCTGGGTGAACTTCTCAGAAATGCTTTGTCTTCTAAATCGGGGGCTCTGGAAAGGGCTGGTTAAGGCATGGGGTTATGTGACAAAATGCTTTATCGCAACGTGGGGCACTTCTAACCAGATGAGCTGTGCTTCCATGTAAGGCAGCAAAAGCTCAGAGAACGCAAAGGGGAATAAGGATAAGCTGATCTTCAGAGATCTTCTGTATTCCTTTCTTTCATGTCGCTGTGGTGCTTTAACCAGCCTTGCAGTAGCGCTGTTGAAGGAGGAGAGTGGAACATGCTTCACCTAAGACCTCACAGGCCACAGCGAGCAGCACTTGAAGGGAAGTTCCTGACAGGGAAGATGCTGTGGTTACTGCTGGCATCAGCTCACCAGCAAGAGCTAACTGTGCATCATGGCTTGCACTCGGCACCCTCACATCTATCCCATTCCCAGCCGACAGTGACAACCTTTTCCTCAAGCTTTGCCAGTTACCTGCAGATCAATCTTCCCATGTTAGATGTAAGCCAGTATCTGTCACCTCCTAGCGTCAAGATCTCTCTATGTGATTATTTTATTGCAATCTCCTAAAGTGCAGGTACTTTTCAGCTCAGTAGGATCGCTGTAGCAATAAAAATAAATTAAGCATTTTTGTACAACCTGGGACCCTCTACTGTAATGCAAGTTCCATTTGAATACGCTTTCTCTGTGGGCATGGAGCCATCATTTAAGCATGACAGCTGCACGGACATGACTGACTTCTTTATACTGCAGGAAAACTTAGGCATAAGAAATTAACTAACAATAAACTTTCTTACCATTGCAGCTCAATCTGAGCCCCAGCATATGTGTTAGTTGTGTACTAACACTGATCTGCTTTGCAATTAAGATGCTTTCTACAAGCTCCTGCTTCACAAATCCTGCTGCAGGGCCTCTTGCATATCAATACAGAGAAGAAGGTGGCCTATGGAAAACACCAGCAGCCAGTGCAGCCATATCATAGCCTCAGCTTTGCATTGTGATACACAAATCTCTAGCAAGCAGTCTTTGCTCATGTTAATTAATTCAAAAAAGAAAAGAGCAGTCCCAGACTGCATAACTTGAAGGTAATTGCTTGCATCTGTTCAGCTGCTTGTGTTGGAACAGGTTATGAAGAAGCAATGGCGTAGAAACGGTGTCTTGTGGTTTGTTTAGCCAGTGCATGCATCGCTCCAAGGAGGAGTACTTGGGGGCTGAACGGCAGGTCACAAGGGGTGAGATTATGGTCCGGTCCATCAACAAACACTGTGATGGCAGTCTTAGAAAGCAGCTGTCTGAGGTCATGGACATCTTTTGGAAGGATCCTCTCCAGAAGACAGGGCAGGGAGCACCGAACAAGCTCAAAGAAAGGAACACAGTGCTGTTTTGCTTGGTCATTCTCCTCCTCTTAGGCTTTAGTGGTGCAGCTCTGTTTTATCCAGGATGACAACAATCGTGTGATACATTTCTTTAGCCTGTCAAAACACAAATCAGTATCAGTCATTCTCTGTCCCAGAAATGGCTGCTTCTCATAATTAAATATTCCCATAAATCACTTTCCATAACTAAATATCAGGTAGGTGCTGGGACAAAGCTGCACTTTGGGGCCTGGGAAGTGCAGTGCCCCCATCCACCTCTGGGGCAGAAGAGAGCAGTAGTACTGTCTCTTAGCAGAGGCTCAGCGGGGCAGTGGAGGGCAATTTCTGAATTGCCAGGAGGAAGCTGTAGGTCCAGGCTGATCTCACCTGTGACAGTTCAAGCCACATAGTCTTGGGGCTGGCAGCCGAGCCATAGTTTAGTTCTACGCCAGGAAGCCCACCATCAGAGACAGGCCGCAGGGTTCGCATCTTCTGCAGCTCTTTCAATGGAATGACACAGGAGATTGCCTGCGCAAGGAGAAAAAGCCACAAAACACTCTGGTGCAGGCCTTACAAATAAAACCATCTGATGCTCACCAAGGAGGATTCACCTCAAGAGCCTGTCAAAAGCTAAGACAAGGACTGGGGCACGGGGCAGTGTGTACAGAATACAGGGCAGGCTCCTGCTGCCAGCATGGCCCTAGAACTCCTGCGAGACTGGGACAAACAGGAATGTGACCTACACTTAGTCTTACTGTGAACCATGCTTGTTAACATGATCACTGGACTTATAAAAGAGCACATGGCAGTACTGTTCAAGTACTCTTGTCCCTTGCTTCGGGCTAGGGCTGTTGTTAGAGTATCTGTGATGCAGGTAAATACAGTCCCTTCCTGCACAAGTTCTTCTAAAAGTCAAAGTTAACATCTGACAGACATCAGGACTCTGGACTCTAGGGAGGAATTGTCTGGCATACCTGGGTGGTGCCATCCACCACAATGATCTCTTCTTTATTCACGCCACAGAAACAGGGCACGGGGATTGTGTTATCGCTGACTCTCTCTACAAAGTAGATGTTGTAGCCAAAGAAAGGCAATTTCATCACATGCTCTGTAAGAAAGCAAAAGGTGGCTTTCAGGCAGCACCTTCCAGCCAGCAATCCACCGCACCAACCTAAGGTGGTCAAAAGCTGCAAGTGTTCCCAAGCTTTTCTGCATTAAAAAGTAAGATTGACAACTTCTCCCTCCCTCCCAGGCTGCTGATACTCAATTCTCAGCATGAGATGGATGGATGGACATCTGAATGGATGTCCCGTTCTTTTCTGACCAAAAAACAGACGTGCAGCCAGAATATTAATTAAAACACAACTTGTACAGAGCTCTGGAAGTCTACTGCGGACTTCCGCAAAAGAAGTGAGACTTCTACCATGATCACCATGCTTGGGATCAAGTGCCAATCTGCAGGGGGAGGCTGTCAGGGAGTCATATGTCATGGCCCATTCCAGACTCCAAGGATCCTCGCCAACCTCAGGAACTGTCCCAAAAGCACATTCAGAGCAGCTTCCATCATGCTCAGGATAGATGACTCAAGCAGATCTGGATGTCTCCTCACCTATGAACTGGATTTTTGCATCCACCGGCTGGAAGGGCTGCCTGCTTCTCAGCAGCATGCCAACATAGCTCTGCAGAGCCTGGGGACTGATGGAGGACTGCAGGGTCTTTGGCGTGTACTCCTTCAGCTCTTCCCTGTGCCAACAAGCAGATACTAATTCACCCCCTGCCCAGCTAAAATCAAAAGATCAACCAGGGAGATTAAGAGGAAGGAGGGGATGCGGCAACAGTTTTCAGTTGCATGGCTGGGGGCAAGGGTGGAGGGAGAGGGGAAGAGCACAGCAGGTCATATCTGGATTGGATAACGTGGAAGGAAACAGAGACAGCGAGACCACCATTTTCCACGCAGAAGGCAGCTGTGCACCACTGACTAGTCCCTCCTTTCTGGAGACAACAGGAGCTCTTCAAGCAAGGACTGTAGCATGGAAGTAGAGCCACAAGGTATTGCTTTCACAGGCAGCCTCAGCTGAAAAACACCTTACTCCAACTCTGTCTTGCTCCTGTGCCTCCAAAGCACTACAGAGAGCAGAGTTCCCTGTGCCCAGCAGGGTTATGCCATTACCTCCTGCTGGTGGTGTGAGGGGATCTGGTGGAGGCATTACCTCCACTCTAAGTGCATAAGGATATGGGAAGGAAGGAGTGTGAAAATACAGCTCAGGGCTGCAGGACAGAAGCTTTCCAGGTCCCAGGGACGTTTTCATTCCCATTAGGCATCTCACTACAGATTTCAAGTGCCCAGGGTTGAAAACTCTGGCACTTGTGAGAAAGAACAAAGGAGCATTCATCCCCACTATAAGTTCATACACTTCCTTCTCGGTATTACAAACACATGGCAGTCAAAAGAAACGTCCATGGCACCCTCATGACCCTCAGCTCAGAAGGAGTCACAAAAGGAAATGTGCATCAGAGCCAGACAGCATTAAGAGCGTGAACAGGAGGTAAGCTTTCTTGATTGCGGGCAGGAGTCAGTCACCGAGTAGTGACATCCATTAGTAGTTTATGTTCTCCAGAACTGTCCATTCCTTAATTATCCAGAGAGTACTTTCAGGCACCTACCCCTAACCCCTGTGGTGCCAACAGCCGTTAGAGATAGAGACCCACCCTGAGACAAACATACCTGGAGGGATCAGAGTTCTGCTGCTCTGTTTTGGCCCAGTGCTGGAGCATTGCCAAAATGCCCACCTGCATCTCCATTTCTTTACTACGGCTCAACAGTATCTTCCCATTCAGGTAATCCCACAGCATCTGAGAGACAGCACAGAAAAGAGGCCTTTGTTAAACCTTCCAGAAGGTACAGAAAAGTCTGGGCAGCGCCAGGCTGCAGAGACCCACATCTTGCCTTGCTGATACACGAAAGCAAAGGCTTTCTG